TCCGAATAAATGCACCAATTAATATTTAAATTCTTAATCTTATCCTGTACATGCATGTATGAATTGATAATTTTTCGCAGAAAAGAGAACAAAATCTCAGTAATAAAAATTTATTCTTTGTTAGCATTAAAATAATACCATATTATTAACGAATCATAATTGCTACGCAGGAGGTTGGTAGATTTTTTTTTTTTTTTTTTTTTGCTATATATATGTGCCTAAAGGCACAGGTTGTTTCAAACAAATAGCTCATCCTCCAAATTCTTATTGTCTGCAGCTTGATTAATAATATTCTAATGGCATCAATGAGGAGTTCCAGCAAGCTGTTGATGTTTCTTTGTTTATCTCTTTGGCTTTCTATGCTTTCTTATGCAGTAAGCCTAACTTTCATTCCGTTTCACTTTAAAATGATTTTGTAAAGAACATATATATAACATAACCTGTTTTTTTTTTTTTTTGGTTTATATTAGTCTAAGATATAATTAAATTATTTTCCTATACGTAACCATTATACGATATTAATTTCCACATTTCGTAGTCCTTTTTACCAATGTTAATTATCTGGCTAACTTTTGTTTGTGTAATATTTTTAATGCACGAAAGGATTGGTGCGTGATAAATCCTCCTGTTACTGATGAGAAGGTGCAAGAATTCATTGATTTTGCTTGTGGAGTGATTGATTGTGCCCCGATCCGACCCGGCGGGTCGTGTTATGAACCTAACACATATTATGTCCATGGTACATATGCTCTTGATGCCATTTACAAAGTCAAAGGCAACTGCAACGCAATTGGGATGATAACTACTACAGACCCTTGTAAGCTTCTTCTTACCGCTATTATATTGTTTAGGGTTTTCAGATCAAGTTATCATATTTTACATAGAAAAATTAACAAAAAAAGAACACATTAATTTTCATAATTACTTGATTTTGGATTCATCTTTTTCTTACTTTTGTGGTTTACTTTGATGCAGCTTTCGGTACTTGCCGTTTCCCGTAATTGAAGAATTGTGAAAGGGGCTTACACATCTCAGGTCTCGTCAATTAATCAAGTATTTTTATTCACCAAATAGAGTAGTATAGTTTTTTTATTAAAAAAAAAAAAAGACGAAAGCAGAAATTTCCAATTGGGTGAACCGTTGAAGCTTTTGTAATAGTATAGTAATGATTTATGGGATGCAATTTGAATTTCTTGCTTAATTAATAAATCAATAACTATATAATCATTTGATAATGGACGACTTTTATTAATTTTTTTTTTTTATGATAGTTGTTATTCATTTCTTGAACAGAAATTACATAGATCACTCAGTTGCAAAACAGACTCCTGTGCTATAGGACCAGTCGACACAATCAGCAGTTAACAACAAAATCAAAGTGGAATACAATAAATCAAAAAAAAAAAATGAAAGCTAAGTAATTTCAAATGGATTTTTCTTAATTGGGATCGCAAAACCTCTACATTGTAATGTCAAAAAGAAATGAAAAGGGATTTACATCACCTACAAAGTTTATAATATAATAAATCATCAACCATACATATTTAAGATTTTGACTTTTATATTCCCTCTGTCTTACAAAAATAGTCCAAATGTTAAACTAAAAATGTATTTCACAATTTATAATTAATTATGATTATTTTTTGGAATGAAGGAAATATTACCTATGCATTCTAGGTGTTTGAATAAGAATTAAATAAAAAGATCAGCTTGTTCGATTCGTGGAATTTTTTTTAACTCGGAAAAAATAAAAAGGAAAAGGAAGAGAAATCTAGCTAAGTATAGCACCAACTATTTATTCTCCCAAAATAATATCATATTAGCAATATTCTTTTTCCTTCAAATTGTTCTCTTCATTTACCACCTAATTATTTGCATCAAAATTGAGATAATATAATGTTATAAATCTTTTCCTAACTTATTCATTACTAGCATGCAATCATATTTCATGAAACTCGAGAGAAAAGTAGAAAACAATCTTACTATTAATATTTTTTGTAAGCCTATATTTAGTATCAATCATACTATAATAAAAACTCCCTAAATTAATACTCTATAAAATAATAAATTTTCTTGGTCCGAAGTCAGGACCAGTACAAAAATCAAAGTAAATCAATAAATTAATAAATAAAATTTTTAAAAATTCTTATATAAAGGTAGGTCCCCTATAAATTTTAAATTGATAATCATTTAAAATATCAAAAAAAAAGAAGGTTTAAGAATGTAGGAGACTATTGAGCATTTTTTTTTCCTTCAAATTTACATCTAAGAAAATTTTATCTTTTATTTTTGCTCCAACCAGTAAATAAAAATAATGGGATCATAAAAAAAATCTTCATTTACTAATAGAATTGAAAAAAAAATTAAAATGATGAAATATTAATTTATTGATAAAATAATAATTAATAATTTAGCGATAAAATATTAATCTCTATAGAGTTTTTAAAGTACATCAAAATTAAGAAAACATAATCGCATTGATAATTATTTTGATAGAAATGCTCTCTATATTTCATCAAAATTATGAAAACATAATCTTCTTATTAGTAATTTTTCCCTTAAACTGTCAATTTCTCCTTTATATTTATTTTTCAATCATTCTTCATCATAAATAAGAATACATAATCTTATGAATAATTTTTTTCTTTAATTATTCTCTATTCTTATCTTCTTATTTCGTCAAATTTAATAAAAGAGAGTCTTATTAATAAATTTTGTTAAACTATTCTCTTCCATCAAATTTAAGAAAACAAAATCTTATTCATAAATTTCGTATAAAGTTATTCTCTACATTTATATATCAATTATGGTTTATCAAAATTGTAGAAAAACAAATCTTATCCAATAAATGTTTCCTCTGATTTGTTATTAACGAATCATAAATTCTATGGAAAGAAAAAATCTTTTAAGAATTGTATTTATATGTACCTAAAGCAAAAGGTTTTTCGAAACAAATTATTCATCCAGAAATTTTGATTTCATTTAGTCGGGAAAGAGATGAAAAAGAGCAAAGATTTTTGGAACGTAAAATTTTTATCAGAAGAGGGTTACATTTTATTTTGTGAGAAGTCTAATTTATAGACAACTCTTACAATAACTAAAAAGAAAATAACTTTTTAAATCCTAAATTATCTCTAAAGATAATACTAAAAAAAACTTTAAAACTAATTCTAATCCCAACAAATTTAGATAAATTTCAATCCTAACAAATAATTTATTCCTCTAATTAATTTTTTTGCAGTAAAAAAAATAACTTAACCCAACACATTTAGATAGTAAGTGTAGAGAATGGCAGCAACGAGGAGTTCCAACAAGCTCTTGTTATTTGTTTGTTTAACTCTTTGTCTCTCTGTGTTCTCCAATGCTGTAAGCCACCTTTTCCTTGTATTTTCACATCTGATTTCATTCCATCTTAATTTATTTTTCCTTTTATTGGCTTATTAGGCATCAAATTGCATATTCATTTTCTATTCCAAACTACATATGTTCATTTAATTAACCATGCCACCTCCGGATTGGTTATTACTCATTACCGATTCCAGTTCTCGCTATAAAATTGATACTCTTTTTCTCAAAAAAAAAAAAAACAAAACAAAACAAAACAAAATTTCATCTAACCGTCGTTTGTACAATATCAATGCAGCACAAATTGTATTGTGTGGTGAATGATGGTGTCCCTAACGGGAAGGTGCAAGCATTTCTTGATTCTGCATGTACACAAATTGATTGTAGCCCGATCAATCCCGGCGGTCCATGTTATGAACCTAACACTTACGCTAATCACGGTTCATATGCTCTCGATCGGTTTTATTGGGAGAAGAGTGTTTGCAATTCTGAAATTGGGCAATTAGTTGTTAAAAATCCATGTATATTTATTTGTCCTCCCCGCTATAAAATTTTTTTTTGATTTTTCGAAATTAATTTATCTTAATTTGAGAAAGAAAGTATCAAAACTAACACGAAGTTTCCCAAATTGTACGCATTTTGCATTAATCTTTCGCTGACTTCTTTTTTTGTGTTCTTTTGATGCAGCTTATGGCGGTTCCCTTGATTGGAGAAAATACATGGAGGCAAATACAGCCCGAAGATTATGTCTTTTGTGCATGAATTAAGGGAATAGAAAAATACTAGTAGATGTTTTGTCATTCTCTCAGTTTACTGGCTTTGAAAACTACGTGGAGTGAAAGCTTCAAATTCTGTTAAATATTTTTGTATTGAACGATTTCCTTAATGAAATTATCCTTTCCCTGAAAATAAAGTCATGTGTGCATTTGGTTGAAAGATCTATGCAGGTGTGTATGCAGGCAAACATATATGTAATTGGACTTATGTTTACACCAAAAGGGCGGGAATTAGTTTTACACACAAATATTAAGACACTTTGTTCATTTTTAAACCATGGAAATTGTTTTGAACCTTTCTCTTTTGCAAAATTTTCTTTTTAATTATTAACTTAGTCCTGGCCACAGTTCTAGGATGGTCGGTTAACGGTTTCAAGATACACAAAACCACAATCGAACTATTAAGAAACGGTTTTAAATTGTTACAGTTTGAGACAGATATGGTTCTGAATCCAGTTTTGAATTTTGGGTTATAATTTTAATCCTAGTTTTGGTTCTTGTTTAGGTTCCAATTATAATTAGGTTTTGCTTCCGTTTTATCATTTCTGATATAATTAGGATTTGTTAAAAAATGACTTTCTTAATTTATTTTTTGAATATTCCAAACTTGATGCTTCTTCCATTTTATGAACTTCTTTTCATTTTTATTTGTTCAAATCATGGATGACAATTAGTTATACTTGCCAAAGGTTAAGGATATGATTGGTTTAATCCTTTTATTGACTGTAACTTAACTTTAAGAGCAGCTACATAGTAAAAGATTAACTAAAAATAATATTTTTTAATAAAAAAATTTATTTCTGGAATTTTATTTCAATTTCTCCCGGAAAACATATGCTTCATTTTCAAGCTAAATTGCAAGAAAAAGGCAACACTATATGGCTCCAGCAAGGATCATCAGAGGAGGGAGAGAATCTAACAGAAACCAGCAAAACTCAAAACATTACCCAATCAAAATCAGCCAAGTCATCCATATCATCTCCAAAACTCACCTTATCCACTCTCTCCACCACTACTCTGCTTCTTCCAAAATCTAAAAACCACTTATCCTTCACACTCCACACGCCCCATTTCACTCTTTACTGCAAAATCCTTCTTCTTCTCCTCCTCTGTTTCTCCGATCACCGCAAAAAAAAAAAGAAAAAATGTCTCTTACAATTCCGGCCAATCTTCCCACGGCTATCGCCAACAAGCCGAAGCTCAGCTCCCAATTCGCCGCAAAACCCAGGATTGCCACCATCGTTTGCTCCGCGAATTCTGCTAACCAGAGTAGTAATAACTCCGCCGCCCCTGATTCTTCATTGAAGGCGTTTTCAGCTGCGCTTGCCCTTTCTTCCATTCTTTTCTCTGCTGCTCCGGTCTCCCCTGCATCCGCTGACATCTCCGGGCTCACTCCCTGCAAGGATTCGAAGCAGTTTGCCAAGCGTGAGAAGCAGGAAATCAAGAAGCTTTCGTCTTCTTTGAAGCTTTACGCTCCAGATAGCGCCCCTGCTTTGGCCATTAACGCCACCATTGAGAAGACCAAGCGCCGGTGAGTCCCAATTCTTGAATTTCAACTGTATGATGAAATTAATCTGAGAAATTAATATGGGTTTTTTTTGTTGGGTTGATTTTTCCAGGTTTGACAACTATGGGAAACAGGGATTGTTGTGTGGATCAGACGGATTGCCACATTTGATTGTGAGTGGAGACCAGAGACACTGGGGTGAGTTCATTACACCAGGGATTCTGTTCCTTTACATCGCTGGATGGATTGGGTGGGTTGGAAGGAGCTACTTGATTGCCATCAGGGGTGAGAAGAAGCCAACTGAGAAGGAAATCATCATTGATGTTCCATTGGCCAATAGGCTTGTATGGAGAGGATTCATCTGGCCTGTTGCTGCTTACAGAGAATACTTGAAAGGAGAGCTCATTGACCCCACTGTCTAAATTATTCACTTTATATTTCAGGTTTGTATCAGTTATCTTGTTTTTGGCTAAAGAAATGGTTCAAGTGTTTGAAGAAATTGCATTTACAAAATATGGTCTCATTTCATTAGGTCCGGGATGTGATTTAAGTCTTACTTTGAATGATGCAGATTGAAACTGGTTAACATCACATTTTAACTGGTTTTTTTCTCTGTGTACAGAAATGAGGCTGAATGCAAGGAAGAGGATACTGGGGATGGATTTGAGGAGAATAGGGAATTCGAGAAATCTTGTATTCAATGGCTGTAAAATTAAATGTACATCTGTTTCAATCACTGAACTTACACCAAGCAATAGTAGCTGGTTTTCATTTTGGTTTGATTGATCTTGGAGTCTTGGTGGTCTTGTGTCAAATATTTCTTTCATTTTGATCCTTTTTTTTTCCTGCTAATCTTGCTACTGGAATTATGAAACATACAGAGACTCTTTGGCTCAGGACTCAAGAGTAATGACAAGCAGAGTGTTTATAGTATTTCTTAACTAAAAGCCTTTAACTAGTGGATTGCTCTTACTCCTCTTTACCAACCGTCCCGTATTCGTTACTGAAATGCTAAACTATCATTTCTAAACGAAAGGTCCATCATCAAGAAAAATTCATTTGAAAACTAAGAAATTCATCGAACACTATTGATTAGAAGTTATAGATATTTTTTGTGAAAGAAAAACCATCATTTATGAACAAAACTCGGTGATAAAAAAAAAGTTTTATAAAATGGGGAGAAAAAAGGATTCATTTCTTATGTTCCATAGTCTTCATCGGTCATATTACAATCCCAACATAGATTTCACACTTAGAATACAAATTTTATTGCTATTATACATACAAAGCGAAAACAAGACAATATCCGTACACATAGTCCTTAAATTTCATACACCATTCCAACCCTTAAAAGCCTAGTCCTAGGAATCTCCTAAGTTTTTTCCCCTTGCCTTGCATTCTTCCTGAGGAAACTATAAGTATAATTAACCACGAATTTCTTAGAAAGTGATGAATCCTGTTTTGCCACCACTTCTGCTTCCCCAAGCAAGTAAAACACACCTTGATCCATGGTTCTCTACACGATCTGCAGCTCATTTTCAACGCTAGGTGTAGTAGCCGGTTCCGGAATCCGAACCGAAGAACCGTTGGATTTTGATGAATTAACACATGGTTGGATTGAACCTGATGATAACTCTAACGGAGTTAAGGACTCACTCAATGTTGCATACTCTAGATGAACAGGACATTCTGCGCTTCTCATCATTATGCAACAATCCCGAAAGATGTTGAGTGTTTTCAGAATCATTAATCTGCTGCTCTTTCTGCCCATCTTCGAGGATGAAATACTCGTGTCGAATGAAGTTTTTCAAACTCTCAATTAGCTGATGCTCAAAAACTTTCGGTTCTTCGAATTTATCCTTGTAACCATACCTCACGACCCAGTGAAAAGCCCGAAAATCTCTTGGCTCAACTTGCCTAAACAAGAACCTTTCCTCCAGAGATACTTCACTTATTAGAATAGACTTGATTGACACCATGACCACAACTGAATGTTTTGACGAAATGTTAGATACAAAATGTGAGAAAATTGGTGGAATGCCTTGGACCAGTTCGGAATATGAAAGTCCGATACCAGGTACACGTTTTATCCATGGATTTTTAGCCAATTCCGATACAATATGTTACTCGGACTCTTCTATTTGGGGAGAATACCCGTGTCGTGTCGTGTTGACACTGGTGTGGGTATGAGTGTCGGGTGTGACATTTTAGCCTAAAATGTCCAAGATTTCTAAAATATTGACGAGTCGGACACTCAGATCCCGCACCCGATACAACACCCATATTCGAGTCCAGGTAACATAGCCGACACATATTCATTGGAAATCTTGTTGTGGAGCTCGAACAAGTACCTTTCCTTGTGAACATAATGCCACATTCCCATGATGATCATCAAGGCTAGTGATAAGCCCAGCGGAAGATAACCACCTTTCTGGAATTTGTATAGTAAAGATGACAAATAAATCACGTCAATTGACATGTACACCAGGAAGAACAATGATATCCACCATATGCTTGCTTTCCATATCATCAGCATAATCAAAGTAACAAGTGCAGTTGTGATAACCATTACTGAAACTACATCGATTCCTGCATTAATTCCACACATACTATTTGGTGTTATAACATGAATATTTCTCACAGATATCAGTAACAACTTGGAAGGTTCTGCCGCACAAAAATACTCCACATTATAGTTAGTAAATCACATTAAAAACAGTACAATTTACAATGCAGACTATTGTTATGGGACGGAGAGATCAATTGCCAGGTTAAGATATGTAGAAATTTTAATAGGAAAATGTTGTTACCATAAGCATGGCCAATGTTCTCTGTGGTTTTGAAGCTCCATGTGAGAATAACACAAGCAACCATAAGGAGGAAGTTGACCTCAGGAATATACACTTGGCCTTCATACTTGGCAGAAGTATGAACAACTCTAACCCTTGGGAAGCAGCCAAGACTAAGGGATTGAGATATGATTGCAAATGCTCCAGATATCATAGCTTGGCTAGCAATAATTGCCGCGGCGACAGCGACAACAAATGTCGGCCAATACAAAGGATCTGATAGTTCCCCAACAACCATATGAATATTCAGTAACTCATAATAAATGTAAAAAACCATTCTCACTTTACTATCACAAAACCAATTGCATAAGAGTGAAAATGCCCGAAATCTGTATTCTTCACATACTAATTAACTGAATGTGAAACTGATGGACTATGTTTTTTGACACTGTGAAAGTGTAGGTAAAAGAATCAATGACTAAATGCTTTGTTCCATAATAATGGTCTTGTTTTTGTAACGATTTCAGCTCAACAAACAAAGAGTAATTAAGTATGGAGAAAACTTTACCTGGCACTGAGTCATAGAAAGTATTGTGTACATTTTCTGGAAACTTCGTAAGGTATGCAGCTTGCCCTATATAGGCTGCTGATAATGAAGGGAACACAGTGGCAGAAAACCTTATCTGCAATAACATAAATTGTTCAAGAAAAAATTTAAAGAGTCAATAAAAAATGACAAAATGATCACTCTTAATTAGCTTTGCCCAAGCATAAAATCTTCCTATTAGTTTTCAGCATGATCGAAAACAAAACATGTACCTGAACAGCCCTGACGCTAAAATGACCCAAATCAGCGAACATAGCTTCAGTTCCTCTAATGCACCAAACAACTCCACCTAGAGATATCCATCCTTGTTTACCATTTCTTTTGAAGTAATCATAGATATAGATTGGATTCAAAGCCCGAATGACTCCAGGGTCATACTTGAAAAAGCTGTAAAGGCCAATGAGAGATATGAACAGAAACCACAAGGTGACCGCCGGAGCAAAAGTGAAGCCAGCTTTGTCAGTTCCAAACCGTTGGATGCTGAAAAGAATGACCAAAATCGCGATGGAAATGCCGGCGATAGCATCTGGCAAATTCCAATCAAATTTGGTACATTAATAATTACTCCATCCGCCCCAATAAGATAATCCACAGACCACATTTGTAAATTGTACTGTTTTAGCACACAATTCGCTAACTATAATATATTGACTTGTTTTTGGAATACAAGGAGTACATTGTATAACATTTAAGGGATTGCTTGCATGCATGAATGCTAAAGCAATGAAATAATTTTCAGAATTTTGTTATCTTTGCTCAAGGAAGGGATCCCACCCACAGCAGAAAGTACTGTAAAAAGGATTTAGAGTTATCAGAGTTTTGTAGAGAAATACTAGTAGTCAATAAAATGATACGTTAGGAGTGCATAACCTGGATTTTCCAGGTAGTGATCTCGATCAGTAAAATATGAAAAAAGCTAAATTATTAAGGGTTTGACTTTGACCTGAAATGCATGGAGACTTGGAGTTAAGACCCCATCACCAATCACCATTGAAGTTCCAAGAAGGCTAGCAAGTAATAGCAAAATTTTTGCAGTATTGCTTTTCTCGAGTTTTTCTTTGATCATTTGAGACCTTCTCACATGTTGAGAAGGTATATCCAGCCTGTAGTTAGAAACCTCCCTGTCCTCCGGTTGATGATTCGGTATTAAGCTCACTTTTGCATATCTACACAGTAAAGAGTAGAGCGCAAATGTTCCTCCTACACATATGAAACAATATTTAATTAATATTTCCCGTGTCTCAAAAAATAGTCCACTATAGTATAAAAACTCAAAATTCAATGCGCATATAAAATGTTCAAGATTCCAAGTTATGGTATTAATATTCTATCTATGTTTACACAAGAATAATTACACTTCGGTCTTTTTTATAAGGCATTTTGATTTGTCATAAATTTCATCTAATATGTTTTGTTTAATTGAAAAAAATCTTAGAAATACATTTTATATTTATTGTGTTTTTCTAATTATTAAAATATATTTTTTAAGATTTTTTTATTTAAAAATATATATTAAATGAAATCTAAAATAAATCAAAATATCTTACAATAAGTACTGAAAGAAATATTATTCAATCAATATATATCTACAAGATAATACGTACCGTCACCATTGTCGTTGGCCCACAAGACTATGAAGACATACTTGATCATTGGCACCAAGATGAGGGTATAGAGAATCAGTGACAAAACCCCCCCAAAACTTCGTTTTTATGATTTATTCCGTTAGTAGAGGTGCTCGAGAAAACATAAAGGGGAGAAGTCCCAATGTCACCATGTATTACTCCGATGCTTTGAAACGCCAAACTCAGTGTCGTCTTCCATCCAAAACCCTGTTGATGTATATTTCATTTATTTTATTTTTTTTAGTATAATGAAGGAGGTCAAACCGTCAAAGACCTTATCAAATTGAAACATTACGTGGAGGGAACTCTTGACCAACCCTTATTCCATCCGCATGAATGAGCTCAAAAAAAAAAAAAAAAAAAATCAATACTCAATTCTGTGTTTTATATCTATAGTTCATATTTATAGAAGCTCATGGGGTTCCACCTCAAAACCAATTGGTAATGAGGGGAATAGCCCATGGTGCTTATATACTGATATAAAAACAATTGGCAATGAGAGGAGTAGCTCGTGATCCTTATATACTGATACAAAGTGTCTCCAGATACCAATGTGGAATAAATACTTCAACACTGCTCCTTAAGTTCAACGGGCTTGGAACAAATCACCAGAATCAGAAAATAAATCGTGGAATAACATCATGGGCCGCGGAATAACATTGCGAAATTAAATTGGGTCACGGAATAACATCGTGGGCTTAAAATCATCAAAGGCCGAGTCTGCTCTGATACTATATAGAATCCCATAGGGTTCCACCTCAAAACCAATTGGTAACGAGGGAAGTAGCCCATGGTCCTTATATACTGATACAAAGTGTCTCCGGACACCAATGTGAGATAAATACTTCAACAATATCCGTTCTAGCTGAAAAAAAAAATGGTATAGGAACACATAGTAACTACGACAGATTACACGAGTGTTAGTAAGAATTTTTTTAAAAAACGATAAAAAAAAAAAAAAAAAAGGTTTATCAGACGATAAGTAACATGTATAAAAACATTTGTTATCAAGGAGTAATATAACTAAGTGTTCGTGATTCTACATGTGTAACAAAGAATTGTAAAATTGTACATCGAAACGTGTCTGGTAGTTGTTTGGGAAGATTCAACGTACAAGATCTTCCAATTTGCAAATAATTTTTTCCATTCAAAAGAAAGTCGTGTTTGTTTTAGTTTAAAAATAATTAATATTTTCTTTGTCTCAAAATAATATATTGTCTAGTTTAGATTTTTAGTTTGAATTAAAAGTGAAAAATTTAAACTACACAATTATTTCAGAACCAAAAAAGTATTTTTTTTCCGGAAGAAAATTTTCATGAAAAGAAAAGAGAAGAATAACGAAACTTAAAAGAATAAATGGATACAAATCCAATAATGAAAAAAAAAAAAAAAAACAACAACAACAACAACAACTTGGGAGCCTCGGTGCGCATGATTGAAAGAAACTTTCCTGGCTTCTAAATTGAGGGAGTCGACTCGGTGCAACTTCGCCCACGAGAATTTCCGGTCTTTTACACTGTTGGCGCGTCGGTCACCATCACGATCTCCTCCGCCGTGATGATGATCATCCTCATCCGCATTCTCAGTTCGTCGAGATGCAGAAGCCTCGACTGCTTGCTCAACAGCAGCTTTCATTGTCTTTTTCTTTCTTTTTTTCTCAATGAATTTTCTTCTCCTTTTTTGCTACTAATCAAGTTTGATCAATACATCGTATTGGTTGGACTATTTATAGGACTAGCTCTAGTGGATTAAACAATATCGAGGTATTCATGTCTATTATAATAATTACATTTGTAGTAATAATTTTTTGTATAGGGTTTATTATATATCTTTGTATATTTACAATACATCACATAGAAATATAATCTTTATTATTTTAAGTAGGTATCAGAGCTAGGTATCTTTGTTGTTTATAGGTGCGTGTGTGTTTTTTTTTTTCAGAAATTACGAGAATAATCTTAGATAAATACATATTTAACTTCGGCTAAATTTGTTACCTGTTTACATAAATTACAATGATTTTAAGTAGATACATGTCACATTCGGACAAAGTTTCTTTAACAATTATTTCGATCATTTTCGGTGTGTCTTATTCAAAAGACCCGCTATTTGTTATACGTGTAATGTTAGAAACTCAACCTCCGTATTTTGTTTGTTTGCGTTCTAAAAAGTCAGAAGTTTATTACTTCAGCATCGAATCTTCCCCTACTTCAGCAATTAGTACTTCAATAATTTAATGTCCGTGTACGTCTGAGTTCATGATCAATCTTAGGACTAATTCCGTACTTCAAGGACAAAAGGCATTCACCATTGAATTATACTCCCTCCATTCCAATTTAATATGCTCATTTAGACATACACAGAGATTAAGAAAAAGTGGGTAATATAGTTTATGTAATTAATTTTAAATAAAATTCCTATCACACCCTTATTAATGACTAATGAGTTATTAGTTGATATGAGAGAGTAATAATTGAAATTAGTTAAATATTCTTGATTTCAGTGAATGTGGGAAGGAAATATTAGAGAGTTTATAGAAAAACATTAATTAATTATTTGAAGTGGGACTAAGTTTTGAAACATCTCAAAAGAGGAAGTGAGCCTATTGAAATGGAATGGGGGAGTAACTAAATGAGCTCAAGAGCAATTATGTTGATTGGGTCCATTTTAATAGTTCGATTTTCAGATATTAACTTTAAAAAATTAACTCCTTAACTGATTATCAATATTGTGCAATGGATGCAATATTATTAGGCTAATTTATAAATTTTATCACAATTTTCTAGCATTTGATGATAAAAAGTAATCTGAAATGTTTAGGCTTCATTTGGACAAGAGTTTTGAATAGTTGTTCAGAAAAGTCTGTTTGAAACAAAAGTTGAAAAAATAATTTTTAGAAAATAATGCATTTGGACAAGAATTTTTCAAACCCTTTTACAAGTTAAAAATATGAAAAAGCCATTTGGATTAGGTATTTTTCAAAAGTACTTTTTGTTAAAAAATAATTAATTAACTTTTTAAAAAAAAAAAATTATTCTTTCACAAATTTTTATTTTCATTTTTTCACTTTTCTTTTCTAATTTTTTTTTATTATTCAAAATTATCTTGTTCTAAATTTTCTTTAACACACTTTACTTTTCCAACATAAATCAAAACTAGAGTGTAGATTTAAAAACATTCTAACTAAATTAAATGCATAATATTTAGACCATTCTAACTTATTAAACACATAATAAATTATGATAAACAAATACTAACAGATAATTTTTTTAATTAATTTATAATTTTTATCATTACAACAGTTGTAATCATGCTAGCAGTAAATTTGTTATATTTATGACATCATTAAAAATAAAATAAATGTGATACAAAAGTATTATTTTACTAACAACTGAAAATTAAATTCTTATGCACTCAAAGACAAATAATTTGTGAAAAATATTTTTCAAAGAAAAATATATTAAAAAGAAATAAATAATGAAAAATTACAAAAAAAATCAAAATGTAATTAGTGAAGAATAAAAATATAAGAAAAGAAATAAAAATTTACCTTTTTTGGTTAAAAAAAATAATTCACCTTTTCATATACATAATAGTTAAACAACATATACATTGATTTTGATACATAAATTTGAATGAAATTTTTAATTCCAAAAATATTAACAATGAATCTTAAAAGAAAGATCTCATACCGTAGATTAACTTGATATATAGCACGTTGTCTAATTATTTATATATTAAAAGATATAATAATTTAAAAAAATAGGAGAAAATTGAAAATAAATAAAAATTAAAAAGAAAAGTGGGACCGAGAACAAAGTGAGGAAGAGATGGGAAGGGTGGGAGAATGGGAGCTGCGCATGTAACGCACCATTTTTTTTTTGTGGTCTTGTTAATAATATTCATGACCCGTTTTTTATAACCCCCTTTCGACCCGGATTTAGACCTGTGAATGGAGACAAAAAGATTAGTTCAAAAAATTAAAAAATACCCCCTACCATTTTCTAAAAGGTCTATTTCAAACCTTCCTAATTATTTTGTCCAAACACATTTTAAACTCTAAACAGATTTTTTAGCCGTAAAAGTCTTTTTAAAACTCTTGTCCAAATGGAGCCTTAGTTTTTGAATTTTTCATTGTAGGCACTTATCTTTTAGAATGAGATAGAAGAAGTAATGTATTTGATTTTTTCTGGATTTGATAATATGATAGATTTAAGGTTCGCTTTTTTGTAATTATTTAAACTAGATTCTTGACAAAAGAAGTAATTATAAAATTAATTCATAAATATTTTCGCACGGGTGCAAAATTATTTATGAATTAATTTTTATATATTTTCAAATAAAATTAATAAAAGTTAAAATTATTTTGTTGGAGTTGGAAAAAATTTTGTTGTACAACGTTCAAAATACTTCTTAAAAAGTACATACCAATAGCCACAATGACTCTATTCTAAGTCATGTTTTTTTTAAAAAAAAAAAAAAAAAAAAACATGTTAGAGGACATAATTAGGCGACTCCTCAAAGAGAAAATTAAAAAATTATACCCATCAGTATTATTTTTTAGACCGTGTATTGAAATTGGTTAAAAATTAGTCCATTTCTTCTTGTTCATTTTTGAGACCGTTATTTTCTTTGTTCAATCTCACAGCGAGCTGATTTGCAACTTGTTAGGTAGTTACTAAATATATTATGCCAACAACCTGATAGTAATTTATGAAAAATCAATCATTTCAATTCACAATTGAATTAGAAAGGGTTGGTGTAGTGTACTGTAATTGAATATTAGAAAAGGAGTCCACAAAAAATCTAGGGCACCATGAGAAATTGAACACTGGCATCGAGAGAGAAAAGGGGCTGTGGATTTGGGTTTAAGTATGGGTTTCGAAAAAAAATATGGAAAAACAGTATCGTTTAGTTAAGGAATCTAGAATTTGAATTAATTTATTTCATTTTATGGGTCCATTTTTAAATCTTTTTTTCTTTTTGGTACATGATAGATTTTTTCCCATTTTTCTTTTTTCTTATTGTGTTTGACTTTGGGGAGACTTTTAAGCAAAGAATGACACTTGAAATTTTAAGAAAAAAGTGATTTTTGTTATAATGAGAGTTATAGATAGATATGATTCAACATTAAGAATGACGCATTCATCCGTTGTGTACGTCGAAAAACTTCACAAAGGTAGCAAAGTCAGATTACGATTGCTTAAATTATCATTTCTAAAACTACGGTAGTATTTGTCTTCTTTAAAAAAAATAATTCATAATGAATTTTGAGACTGATACTAATTTTAATACAAATTTAAAAATTTAATATGACCTACTTTTCTGATATGGGGAGTACTAATTATCAATCGCAGGCAGGACGAGTAGTAACATTGAGGTAGATAAGAAAACTGAAAAATCAGAGAAAAGTTGTCTTCAATCTTAAATCCTGAAATCTACTCTTTCTATCTCAAAATTATTGTCCAATTTGAATTTTCATATTTAGTATTAAATGAAAATTAAATAAGTTTCATTTTTAGTATAAATTAAACTAAAAGTGAAAATCTAAACTGAACAATAATTTTGGGCCGGAGGAAATATATTTTTTCACCATCAAAAGGAAAAGATGAAGTTTGAGTTTATTAAGGGGCGCTTTGTGAAGATACTATGCTTATATTTGTAATAAGGTACGTGATAATATCTCCTACAATACATGTTTTTTTTTGGTTGGTTCACTAAGGAAATTTGATGCAAATTCAACCAATATATATATATATATATATATATATATATATGTATATATAGACACACATTGGGGTGGGAGAGTTAGGTGAGTTAGGCGATTAGGATGGGGATGATTATTACCAGGAAGTCGATGGCTCGATTCTTCCTGGAATTATCTATTTTTTTTATAAAAAAATACATACACACACATTTATATAGCCTTAAAATTTTTCCATAACCTCCTGAAAGCTATTTTCTTTTTCTTTCTTATTTTCCGGTATAATCTCCTGAACTTGTTTCTCAGCAGAAATTTAACAAAATTGAGTCCATTTTCATTTCATCAGTCTACTTTTGTGGTAAATGGAAATTCAACAATATATACTATCTTAAAATGAGAGAAGGTAAAAGGTACTTCAAAACATTCAAAATTAAGAACAATGATACGAATTGTAACAAAAAAATTAAATTATTCGAAACATAATTAAAAACAAATTCTTCCGAGGCATGTGTACTAGGAAGTAGAACAAGTCATCAACAATCGTGACAACTTGAGAAAATAAGAACAAAGTCAACGTACTTGCGTGGTAGCAACTTACGTACGGCTGCTAGATGATTAACATCTCTCCCCATCAGCTTCCAAATATTTTCAGATCCATTATTTTAAGATGAACTACCGACAAAGTAAGTAAGTAAACAAAACACTCAAAAATCACTCATTTCGAAATTTATCCCTCCAAAAACTTAGTACAAGCTATCACTGTTTTTATTTTTATGTAAAGTGTAACCCATTAGAAGTGGACTATTTTTTGAGATAAGCTGAGTAAGATAATTTCCAGTGGAAGAGTGTGGATGCAAATGTCACTTAATAATTTTCTTTTTTTTGTATTTTACTAAATCCACACAATTTCCTACTAGCCAGAATATCAAATGTATATTCCCATTTTCGAACAAAACCACTAAACAAAGCAAAAGTTAATTTAATAATGTTTGGATCGCTTTTTTAACGTTTTTTTTTGTTTTTTTAATTGAGAATGTAAAAAAAATTATTAGAAATATAAAAAAAGTGTGTTAAGATGGGACATTTATTAATAAATTAATTTTAAAAAACTAAAAAAAAAAAGGAAACAAAGTCAACGACATCGAAAATCCATTGTCTTGTCTCCTACCATTTTCACAATTTCACTATTTTTTTGTAGTAATATATCAAATTACTACTTTGAAATTCCATCAATAATTTGGCGTGGACCGAATCTGATACAATGCCCTCAAAATTAACGTAGATAACTATTAATATTAACTATTTTTTATTATTTATATATATATATATTAATTTATTTTTATTATTATTTTTTTATTAGTATTTTTTTTTTTTGATAAATCGACATCTAACGTAGACACAATCCAAAATTTTAATATAAATTTAACTATTAATTGAGTTTTCTAATATCTATTAATATTATTTCTTTAAACTATTTTTAATCAATCTAAATATCATAAACACCTATTTACTGTTAAAAGCTTTTGTGTTGAATGTGTTGTTCTCTTAGGGAAACCAATAAAAAAAAGTCGATGAAATAAAAAATTTATTGTTTCTTGCAATTTTCACAAATTTTTTGAAAGTACTATCATAAATTACTATTTTGAAATTTAATGACTTTCGACGTAGATTGAGCTTAATATAATGCACTTTATTTCTGCTTGGTTAAAAATATTTGCGTCGACTTTGTTGTGCTCTTAGGAAACCGACGTTGATGAAATCCAAGACCATTCTTTCCATTTTGTAAAGTAATATAATAAAGTACCACTTTGAAATTCTATGACTGATGTGAAAATTAACGTAGATCGAATTTGATACAATGCAGTCCATTTTCTACTTGGTCGTGGCTTTTGATAACTTGATTAAAGTAGACGCAATGCAAAATTTTAATAAAAAAATTTACGAATTGAATTTAGTAATGTCTATTATTTCTTTAAAATACTCTTAGTCTTAGATATATAAGTATCAATCTAAATGACACAAAACAGTCATTTTTGGTCGAACAATTTGCATCAACTTTATCGTTCGTTTAGACAAACCGACGAAACAGAGGACGAAATTTACAATTTCATTGTTTTCTTGCCATTTTCAATAAACTTTTGGTTGTAATACATTATCACTTTGAAATTCCATTACTAATATTAAAGTCAAGGTGGATTGTATTTGATACAATGTACTTTTTTTTTACTCGGTGGCTTTTAGTCACCCGACTAAAGTAGATTTAAGATTTTAATAAAAAATTTAACCATTGAGTTTTGTAATATCTATTATTTCTTTTAAATATTTTAAAATATACATGTATATATCAATCTAAATTTCACAAAATACTTATTTATTGTTCAAAACAATTAATTTTGCCACTGATTATATGGCATTGGTGGCATCTCACGTACTACAATGGCTCGATAGACCATCATCGGGAATTAAATTATAGCTAGAACATGATGTAATAAGAGTAATATATCCCAAAATTATGCTACTTAGGTGTCAACCTCTTTATATTGTTTGTTTTTTTAAAAAAAAAGAAAAGTATTTGCGTCAATTTCACCGTCTTCTTTGTAAAACTGACAAAAAGGTCGACAAAATCCAAGATCGGTTTCTTGCCATTTTCACAACTTTTCTGATGATCATATAATGATTTACACTTTGAAATTCCATGACTAATGTACAGCGTAGAACGAATTTGATATAATACATTCTATTTTCTACTTGATCGGTGTCGTTTGATAACCTGACTAAAGTAGAGGGCAATCCAAAATGTAATGAAAAATTTAATTACTGAGTTTTGTAATGTCTACCATTTCTTAAAAATATTCTTTCTGTTCTAAAAATTATAGTCCAGTTTACATTTTCAGTTTTAGTACAATTTTAATTATAAATAAAAATTTAAACTGGATAATAATTTTGAGACGGAGGAAGTAATTCTAGATATATAGTTATCAATCTAAATATAACAAAATGTTTATTTTATTGCCAAAAGTGTTTGCGTCAACGTTGCGGTCCTCTACGCCTGATAAGTTGAACTCCAACTTTGTTTTGAAAACTCAAGTCAAAATTGATGAGTGAAGAGTTAATTATGGTCAGGTCAGACCTGCAGCAGCTTGCACCGAACCCGTCGAACTATTCCTACCGACGGATTTGAAACATCAGAAGATCTGGAGAAGATCTGGAGATCCTACCGTCATACTTTGAAATTCAATCAATTTGTCGAATTACAACATTTTCCATGGAGTCTTATTCTAAGACATTTTGATTGGTTTAAAAATTTCATCTAGTATGTTTTTTCGATTAAAAATAAAATTTTAAAAATATATTTTCACATTCATTTTGTTCTTTAATTTAAGAAAATATATTAAGTAAAAATCAGGACAAATAAAAAATGTCTTATGATAAGAATAGAAGTGAGTATTTATTTAGAAAAAAATTGGCCGATCTACCCAAAGCTTTACATGCATTGTCAATTCTACTCTATTTTTTTCGGTTAGCCGATATTACCCTAATCTATCCTACCGTTAGTCAATTTTGTCCAATTTGCCAATTTCCGTTTAAATTAACAAATTCTGTTAGTTTTAATTACAAAAATACCCTAATAGTTTTAAAATATAAAAAATGACCCAAAAAATTTATAAAAATAATAAAACAGTCTCTTTTCACTTTTTATTTAATTTTTTTCTGTTTTTTCTTTCTTTTTATTATTTTTCATAACTATAAAAATATACTATATGATCTTTTAAAAAATAATTTTATTTTTAAACACTACTGTATCAATTTAGATATACATATTTGTGACTCATGGTTGATTTCCAGAAACATATTGATTTTTTTAATAATATGACTAGACAATAATGATATTATTTTTTAATCCATTTTTTTTCAATTTAAGGAATAAGATGTTTTTGACTTAAATTAATTCTTTACAAAAAATTAAAACATTTAGCATAGATTAAAAAATAATATATTAGTATTCTTTAAGTTATTATAAATTAACTAAACAGACTACAGATTGTATTATCTAATTAAATAATAATAATTACACTAAAATATAGGGTACAATTTAGTGTTTAGGGTGTTGAGTTTCATGAGAGTAGATATAAGATTAATTCTCACTAAAGGATTTCTAACCGAGAGAATGATTTTATCCACGTTTAAGCGGGGTCCACTATAGTTGAGAGGGTTGAGTTGGACGGTCAGGTGATTTAAGATGTGAGATGATTATTACTGTGTTCGAGGTCTCGATTCTCACTGGGGCAATCTAATTTCTGTTTTTTTTAAAAGGTTGAGTCCAGTATTTGAGTGAATTCTTTTTTTAATACGATTCCTGCTAAAGTTAAATATATTAATATCTCAAAAAAACATCACAAAATGTTAAACTCTCGCAGTGATAAATATACATATTTTTTATAAAATATTTTGCACCATTTTTGTAAATACCACGACACTATATTATTGTGTTGGGCCAAATGTAGAAACAAAATAGGAGATTTTTTCTTTTTTACTTTCTGTTCATACTTGGCCTTTAGAAGAAAATTTATATTTTAGTTTTATTTTTTTTAATTTTATAATACAATCTGAAGTTTGTTGAATTTGTAATACATTAACCATTAAAGTAAACCAATAAATTCTTTTTTAATCTATGCTAAATGTTTTTTTTGTGCAAAATCAGTTTTAGTTAAATAATCTTATTCTTTAGATTGAAAAAAAAAAGATTAAAAAAATAGTATCATTACTGTTAAACCATATTATTAAAAAATTAATATATTTATGTCAATCAAACATGACTTACAAATATGTAATTATAAATTTTTACATTAGAGTTTTAAAATAAATTTGTTTTAAAAGATTATATAGTATATTTTTATAGTTATGAAGAAGAAATAAAAAACACAAAAAAAAATAAATAAAAAGTGAAAAGAGAATTTTTTATTATTTTTATAAAGTTTTAGGGTCATTTTTATAATTTTTTAAACTATTAGGATATTTTTGTAATTAAAACTAACAGAATTCCGTTAATTTAAACGGAAATTGGTAAAATTGGACAAAATCGGCTAATGCTTTGATAGTTTAGGGTAATATCGGCTAATCGAAAAAGAATAGGGTAGAATAGACAACGTATGTAAAGTTTTGGGTAGATCGGCCAATTTTTTCATTTATTTAGTGCACTTGAGCAGACCATCTAAAAGGATGTCATTTTAGTCGGTTGTGGGCCGAATTATTGTTTTTACGAGGACATAAACCTTCTTACTGTCCGACTCAAAGCCGAATTTCATATTTTACTCGGTATCGAGTGTCGAGTAAACTCATTGTATCAGATTTTGCAATCTAGCTAGTACTGTTACTTTTGTGATTTTGCAATTGTACGATGTCACAATTCGAAACTATATACGATTTAAACTTGTTCGTATTTATTAGACCGGGTACAGACAAAACCTTTTTCCTCCGGTGATCAAAATTATCGTAAGTCCCGATTAAAAACTGTTACTGTGTGCATGGATTATTTGGAGAACTATTTCAACTCAAAACTCAAAAAGGAGGTTCATTGGAGAATTTTCCCACATGGGGAGAATTTCCGTTGAACCCTAAGATTTTGTTTTAGCCACATTTTCCCTTTCTCCTTCTTCTTCTTTTCTTTTGTTGTTTTGTTTTGTGGGTGCCATTGCAGAAAGAAGTTTAAATTGGACTACTAGTTCCTCCTACTTCTTCAATAAAGAAAATTTGATAAAAGGGGACTACTAGAAGGGACCAAAAAAAAAAAGAGACACATAGGGAGAAACATTATACAGCTCTCCTTGCAGCGTTCATTCATTCAAGTTCAACACATATAAAGTAATTTTCCTTACACAAAACAACAAACCCAAAAAAAGGAAGAAAGGAAAAGAAAAACAATTAATGCACACAATATATTCGTAGGGGGAAAAAAAAGATAACTTGCACAAACTAGATGATTAACATCATCATGGTAGGTACGTCGTTTTTCACTTGTACTAAAAACGCAAGGGAGCTGGAGGCACACAAAGGAGGGGTATATATGTATAGAAGGAGCTTCAATTCTTAGGCTTGGATTCAGGAATGGAGTTGGCAGCAGCCTCGTGGGGAGATGAGCAGCACCTGCAACCCCTTCCGTAGTAACCGCGGCCGCAGCAACCCCACCGGCAGTATCCGCCGCGTCCACCGCCATATCCGCCACGTCCTCCGTTGTATCCACCACCACCACCAGGGTAACCTCCTCCGCCGGGATATCCACCGTAGCCTCCACCGGGATATCCCCCGTATCCACCTCCCGGATACTTAGCTTCCTCTAATCCATTTGTCTTGTCAACTGCATTTTTGGCTGCAGTAAACAGATATATAGTCATGTTTACGTACTAGCTATTATGCATGCCACCTTAATTTTATCAAACGCTATTTACTCTCTCCGTCCCAAAATAAAAGGTGACAGTCATTTTGGTACGGAGTTAGTAATCTATAAATGAGAAGTAAAAAAAACTTACTTTCAGTTTCAGCAGCCAACTCCCTGGCTGAGACTTCTGAGGCAATCACCAGAATTAGTGCCATAAGGCCGAAGAAAAGAAAAGCTTTGAAACTCATGATTTTTTTTGTTTTTGCTTGCTTGCTAGAGATGTGTTTGAGAAAGAAAGAAGGATGAGAATTCTGGTGCATTCTCTGGGAAATTTATAGTAGAAAAAACTGTGCATGGGGAATTAAATGGCTTGTCTACGTACAGAGATCTGATCAGAGAGGGGTGTGGATAGAATTAAAAAAGAAAAATCAAACTCCGACCCCATAAATTTGGTTGGCTGTTGAAGAAAATCAATGCTATAACATGACTTGACTCATGCTCTACTGTGTGATCTGATCAGTTGGGGGGGATTTTTAAATTAATTCATGGATCGAATATGCCAAGAACATGTTGACCAACTTGAATTCTGTAGATATGATCCGTATATCTATACATGTCGGAGGAAATTGTTAGATAATGTCAAAAATATCATTATACATCAATTTATTAAATACAGCTCTTGTGAAAAATTTAGTCACGGCTCTTAGATAATTATTGCAGGAAGGAAGAGGTACCATTTTCACGAACAGATATTGACCCTAACTATTATACATACATAGGATGGTGCAACCATATACATTTGAAAGAATGTTTTAATTTTTCGAAAGAGAGAAACATTCAAGAGTCAAAAATTGATGAAGTCACCCATGTATATCATGAAGCGAACTTTGTAGCGGATTATTTATCTTCCCTGACAGCACAAGGACCGAAAGGAGTGCAATGACTAGTAACTCTACCAACCGGTGTTAATTCTTGGTTGGAGCATGATCTTCTCGGGGTTACTTACCCCCAAAATGTACGTGTTTAATTCTAGACGTTTCTGCCTCTTTGATTGTAAAAAAAAATGATGAATATACTTATTTCTAGTTTGTTATACTAAAAAAACACATGAAACTATAAATAAATAAACATTTTAAGATTAAATACGTTCTCTATTTATCTAAAAATATAATTTACAATAAGTTTTTAGATTTGTAATAGTATAAATTTAAAAATCAATATTAATTATTTTTTGGGACCGAGTGAACAACTTACTCCAGATGCTTCATCACCGACAGTTCAATTTTTTTTTCTCCCTTAAAATAATAGTGGGATGAGACTCTTGAGAAAAATGGGGTAAGGTAGTATAAATCACATTTAAAAAAAAGGGCATAGCCGCATAGTTATTTTCTAATTTTTTTTATTGGGTAGGATCATGTCGAAACAATTATAACATACTGACAATTAACATTACATGGCCCCGTCCATGATTATAATAAATAAATTGATGATTTCTGCATTGATAAAAATTAATGATCACGTTAAATTTCTCCTTGTTTTGTGAAGAATAGTGCACTCTGCAATGAACAAATTGATTTTGAGACTAAATTTTACAGGGACGTCGTTAATTGAGAAAGAATCCCATAGGGAGTCGAGATAGACGACTGGGCTCCGGCTATCAATCTCGACCACTATACTACGTAGCCAATCCCTTATATGAAAAGTTGGTTCTCTCACCGTTGGTAAATTTCATCGGGCATCGTATTATTAACTGATTAAAGTGGCAACAAGATTTGGAGAAAAGTTTAGGTGCCTGCGATCGCGTTATGTGGGATGCACACGTTTTGAAGGAAAATATTACTACTTTTTTTTTAGGAAAGAAAAAGACATAGGGAATCAAAAGAAAAAATTGCTAGTATTAATTATATCACTCTTATAATTAATTTGTTGTACTAAACAAAGAATACATATATTTGGGATTGATATTTTTTCAAAGATCAGGGAAAACTAATTGATGACTTACAACAAAGTTGCCAAAGGTTAATTGTGGGTGATTGGGGAGATGGAGGAATTGGTTCCTATTTGACTCGGATTTAGTCCCAAAGCGGTCAAGAAGGTTGAAATTTTGACAGAAGATTTCCGATTTTTCTGAAGCAAATATTCGTGTGCCAAGAAGCTTTGGACAAAAAGGAATGGAGGAAAAAAAAACAACAACAAAACAAAAGGGAATGGATGAATTTAAACTTGGTTTCCACCTCCGGCGGTTTGGCCAAGGGTTGTTGCGTGATGCATATATATGAAAAATGGTGCGGTGTTGAACATCGAATTGCTAGGACTAAGGGAGCGTATGGTTCGAAATCTTCAATGACTATGAAAATAAATATGATTGAGCGGTTAATGACAATGAATACACTAATTTGATTGTTGTTGTTTGGTTCAAATCAAACTCATGAATGAATATAATTGTTTAGATGGTGTTTGGTTCTACTCAATCATAGTAAATGTATATAAGCACAAAAGTAGTTTGTTGAAAGAAAAAGAAAAATAAAAATCTTCAGTGAACATGCTTACTAAGGACTAAATTGGTGTTTCTAATCATCATTTGACATTCTACAGTGATTGGAACACGATTTCATCAGCGTTTCTTATCCGTAAAATATATTAATTTTATTTTATATGCTTTATTTTCTTTATTGTATTAAAAAAAATTAGGAGAACGAGTGCTCTCCTATCTAATGCAGAATATTTCTTTATTGAAATGAGAGATTTTAACCCAAATCTGGCTGGAATCTCATCGGCGGAGTTTTCAACTCGCGGCTGCTGAAAGTCAGATTTTTTTTTTCCCTGCAAAATTGCTCCAGGCTCTTCATTATCGGAGGGTTGATTGGGAAGGCTGGAAAAAGTTGATTGATGAGTATGGGTAAATTTCTGATTGAAGGTGGGAGACCCATCAATGGCTTATGGCTCATTGGGCAGTATTGGGCCAATCATTGAGTTAAAATGATTGTTTGTGATCCGCACCAAACACTAACAAATAGTACAATCATTCCCATTAACACCTCCAATTACCCCCAAGGCCCCAACCATACACCTCCTAAATTTTGGAGCTTATTCCAAGGTTAGTCAATGCCCTATAGGAACTAAGGCTCTGTTTAGTTCGTTATTGTCTGAACATCAACTTACATTTCATTTTGTCACTTAAAAGTGAAAAGTATTTCAAATTAAAAACTAAATGGGAAATAAAAATGTTGTTTGGATGGTATTTTGAGCAAAAAGTTGTTTGGATGTTGGTTTTGAAAAAAAGTATTTTGAACTACATTTTGAAATATCAAGTACGAGTTATCACTAAACAATTAAATACTGTCAATTATAGTCACTGCAAAAAAGAACTTTTTCAAAAACAATCACTCAACAACATAATCCTGCCAAATTTGTCACTGAACTATATGTAGTTCTAAAATGGTTATTACACTAACAAAAAGTGTTTCAAGTTGGAATTTAAAATGTAAATCAGAAAGTTGTTTGGATGATGTATTCTTTTCTATTGAGTTTTGTGTTTAAGATGTAAAATGAGTAAAAATGTAAAATGAATTGATGTCCAAACAAACACTCATTTTGATGGTTTTTTTTTCATATTTTTTCATTAATAATTGTCTCTTTTTTTTTTTTAAAGGGATCAATAGTAATTCCCCATTTACCCCCAGTATGACTCGAACCCAGAATTAATAATTGTCTCATATTAACATATACTTTTAAAATTTTAATACACTCTTTTACATTACCAATAGTAATATATATATATATATATATTCTAAAAACACACACTAAAAAAATAATCCAAACCCCAAGAAAGCTTGAGGCAAAGGTTGATCTTAAATGACTAGAGAAAAAAGAAATTGACGTGAGAGTGAATCAAGCCTAGTCAAAATGGAGATGTTGAGTAGTTGTTAGGAGGTCAAGATCAAACAAGTATATATGTCACTCTGTCCCAAAATTATTGTCCAGTTTGGATTTTCAGATTTAACTAAATCTGAAAATCCAAACTGGACAATAATTTTAGGACGGAAGGAGTATTTATTTTTATAGTCAACTATTTAATCTAACTTCATTGGCGATGGCGAACGTGACAACAATTTCACTAGATGTAGATTACTTGACAATAGAGATTTTCTTATGCGGTCCATACAATAGGAGTAACAAGTTCCCGTGACATTGTAAGAAAGAAATTAGTTTTGTTATGATTTTGCTCTAAAAGTTTTTGTTATTTTAGAAATGATCCCCTCTGACATTCTATCTTAGCTTTGGCTTTTGCTCTTTTACACTTGAACGATGTTTGGAAAGAGGGAAATAAATTACTTTTCTTTTATTTCTCCGCGCAAATACATTGTTAAATGCAAGACATTGGAAAAATCCCAAGAAAATTGTAGTATAAAAGTAAATTCTTGAAGGAATAGAAACATATGAAATTCTCAAAGATGTGAGACTTAAAAGATTTGAGTTTACTGACATAGAGTTTATTTTATCGTGTCTGAAAACTTACTATTAAATAAATATGTTATTTGTCAAAATTTGCCGTTTTTGTCCTCAAATAACCACCAATTTTACATTTGGTGGTGTAAAAGTAGAACATTGATAAATTTTGGGCCATGTTTAATAATTTTCAAGGGGTATTTATGTAAGTAAACCCAAAAAGAAGCAAACGAAATTCGTTCGTCCCGCCATTCATGGTCTATTCATTAAACTATCTTTCCCAAAACCAATCAGACTGACAGGCGTGAAACCCTCACCAGTGGAATGGTCCCCACTGCCAAATCCATCAACCCCCCGATCTAACGCTAATTACAAAATCTACCACTACAATTTTAAAAAATTGTCTTTCCCCTCCCTCCGAACCCATTCAAAATCGAACGTTCTCGAATCCAATTTATCGCGAATCTCGAGGTCAATTTAGGCTATTCAACTAATTTTGCCAAAATACAGTTTGGGTTTAACTACCAATTTATCCGTAAATAGTTAAAAACAAAGTATTTTGTGATCTTAATCTAACAAACTTACTAATTAAGCTTTGGCGCCAACCGACTTTACATATTTCGTATAATTTTATTATGACTTACTCGAATTAAAACCATACAAATAAAAGTGGATTTATTATTATTACTAATGTTATAAAAGTACCAAAAAGCCCCAAAATTAAACTCGATACTCCATCTGAAACCCTAAAAATTTTCCCCCCTTTCTCCTTGTTTCTCCTACCGCCGCCCTATCACCAACCACCCCCCACACCCAAACAAACTATCCTTTTTTATCCATTTTTTCCGGCGACTACCCGGCGTCGTTGTTTTTATCTCCGTTAGATCCGTGTATATCGTTTTAATTCCACTTTTTTTCCTAGATCCATAAGGTAGAGGATCGTTAGAGGAACGTAGGCATAGATTTTTCCACGGGCTCGATTACCACGCGCCTTAGATCTGGACGTTTACGGCACGCGCCGGCATCCTAAGACGGAGTCAAGCATGGTTGTGAATGGACGGCCTTTGAAGAGGTTGAAGAGGCGCGTAACTGCAGATCTGAACGACTTCCTTACTTTTCCGGCGTCTGGTGATTCGTCTCCGGTGGATACACCCGCCGGATCTGGACCGTTCAGGACTTGCGTTCAGGCTTTTCTCGCGAGGCATGCTTTGATCCCCCACGCGTCCTCGCTGTTCCCTCTGTTCCCTCACCTGATGACGAGGCAGGTACTGTTCCGCGTCGGAGATCTTACGCTCCCCGACATCGGTGGATCATCCCCGTCGCCGGCTGTCGTATGCCTTGACGTTGTCGAGGAGGACGTGACTAGATCGAGATCTGTTTATTGCGACCAGTGTCGAGTTGTTGGTGAGTTGACTCGTCGAGTCGCCTTTCTGTTTTAAGAAAGTATTTTATAATGTCGTTTGCTTTTTAATCTCTCAGCTATATGCTATGTAAATTGAATTTGTTCATGGCATTGTGAAAATTCTTTGCTGGTTATCCCTCGTGAAGGGATAACTTATTATTTATGCGAATCTCCTGAAACGGAACAATGTCTGTTTGATATTTGTAAGGTTGGAGTTCCAATCCTGTGTGCACGAAGCGGTACCATTTTATTATCAAGGCAGATGGTAACTCAATAGCTGGTTACAACAAGCAATGTGCTGGCTGTGGAGACACTGTTTACATGTCTGACATGTCTGAGTCTAGGTGAGGATCGGTTAGATTTCATAATATGAGATGTGTATGAGAACTTTGGTGTATAATATGAGATGTATATATGAACTTTGTATGTTGGCTCCTGTAGATCTGCTTTCCTGCTTTCAAAGTTGAAGGTCTCTCCACGTAATCATAAATTGAATTTACATTCTTAGAACCGAGGGCTTGATTCTGTCAATAAGCACAGGGCTATGTTTTTTGAGCCTTTGCCTATGGTAGGTAGGTCTGAACACTTTTGTCTGTGGGAGATGATGATGTTTCTGCCTCTAGGTTACTTATTAAATCTTAAGTTGAGTACATGGGTCAATTTTTTTTTTGTTGGCTTATTCAAATCATCCAGTTTTGCTGTCTGTATATTTAAGCAGCTGCCTTGTTACCTTACTGCAATCTTTTTGTGCTTTTTTAAGGATGGCCATTCTTATGGTAGTTCATCCTCCACCCCCAACCCCAACCCCAACCGTAATATGGTTGTCGCTTGTGAAATTTGAGAAATGTTATTTCCTTGTTATTTGGATGAGAAATTCTGTGATATCAGGGTTTTGACAAATATGAAATTACTGAGAAATAACAGCTAATAATTTATAACTTCATGTTGTAACTGTTGAAGTTAATTGTCGACTTTAAGTAGAACTTGTATTAGTAAAGATTGTAGAAGTATCTAGTTTGTTAAGAATCCTCTCTGAAGTAACAAGGTAGATATAACATGTTCTGTTTTTGATGCCTAAGTTTGGTATCCCAAATGGGATTATCTGGAGACTTCTAGTTCTTTTATATTTTCTGTCATATTAAGCTACTTGTTCTCCTCCATAATCATGACCTTATTATTATCTCTGCAAATTAAAGATATGTTCATTGTTGCAAAATTAACAATGTGAATGTTGATAGTGTCTGATACTGTCACATTTGTAAGATAATGCGCAATGGTGGGTAAATTATTGAGTTCTTTTCTCCCATCTTTTGTAGGTGCAAGTCCTGCAATCATTTAATGACAGCAGAAGATGTCGAAGATTGGATTTATCACCAATTAGAGGACACAACTCATCTTTTGCATGGCGTCGTGCACACGAATGGCTTTGGTCATCTTCTTAGAGTCAATGGCAGGGAAAGTGGCTCCAGGTTGCTTTCAGGACGTGATATCATGAACTTCTGGGATCGACTTTGTAAATTTTTGGGAGTCAGGTATGGATTGAATAGTAGATGGTTTGCTTTTCTATTAGTTAAATTATTATAACACTAGTATGGTTCGGTCTAATTCTAGCTTATGCTAAGTATATCAACAGGGCTTGCTTTGGTTGAGAGGTTTTAACAGGGTTGACTTCTTATATATCTTTGCCTGTTGTCATGTGTGGTTATCTTGTCTGATGTATCTAACAACTTGCTCTGTTCTTTCCTGTCATAACAGAAAGGTCAGCGTGACTGATGTATCGAAGAAATATGGTTTAGAGTTCCGACTACTTCATGCCGTCACCCATGGGCAGCCGTGGTATGGTGATTGGGGATATGAGTTCGGTGCTGGTAGTTTTGGTTTGACTCGGGATTCCTATGGAACGGCTGTTGAAAACCTTTCCAGTCTTCCCTTGTCCTTGTTTCTATCACAAGGACGGAAACCTCGTGCACACCTGCAAGATTTAATTTCATTTTATCAGTCTCTATCGGAGCGTGAGCTTGTAAATATACGGGATCTCTTTAAGTTTTTGATGAAATTGATCCACGACGCGCACAAGTCTCCAACGGGGGTTGACAGTTCTCTGTACCTTAAGCTCCGACCTGGTGACTGCAGAACTTCGTGCTCTTGGACTGATGATGATGTGACTCGTGTCCAAGAAGCAATGTTCAAGGTACTAAGGGCAGTGACCGGATCAAACTGGGTGAGTTGGCGTGCTTTGAAGGGAGCTGTCTGCAAAGTTGGGCCTCCAGAGCTTCTGGACTATTGTCTGAAAGAGCTCAATGGAAAGCAAGCTGCTGACGGTTTGGTGGTTACTTCCCGGTGTCTGCCTGCATCTGGGGCCATGGAGTACAGGTTGGTTAATTAGTTTCTTTATGATCATTTTGTTAATTGTTGGATTACATATGGTTATCTTGTTTCAAACAATTGTGTATTAATACTTGATTTTGTTTTCGCAGGCTTGAACCTGGAAATGCTATTTCTACTGTAAATAAAAGTACAAATTTTTATCCGGCTTCAAATAACCCATCTGAAGAACGTATCTTGCGGGACCTTAGATATCTGTTTGAAGCCATGGTCTGCCCTCAGACCATATCATGCCATCTGTCCCCAGCAAAGAGAAATGTTGCAATTGCAGCAGCTACAGTTCTTCTTGATTGTAAACAGTTTGTGAAAGATTACCAGCCTGAGAAATTCTTGTTGGCTTCGAAACCACATGCAATCCAGTTGCTGTGTGAGGTGGACATGATGGAGTATTCAGAGGAGAATGTGGCAAATCCACCTCCGGAGCTGCTTATTCTTTCTTCGGATGCTACCATTGCCGACCTCAAGCTGGAAGCATGTAAGGCATTTCAAGAAGTGTATATCCTTTTTAGACGATTTCAAGCTGAAGAGCTGATGGGCTATGGTGGTGTTGGGGACACTACCCAGGTTAAGCTGTTGCTAGGTTCGGCCGAGTTTGTTAGAGTTAAAGGAAAATGCTATGGTAAAAATGGTTTGAGTAGGTTTAGGATGGAGAGGGGTGTGGAGAGATGGACTGTTGACTGCAGTTGTGGTGCCAAGGATGACGATGGTGAAAGGATGCTAGCTTGTGACAGCTGCGGCGTCTGGCAACACACTAGGTGTTCTGGTATTCACGATTCTGATGGTGTCCCTCTGAAGTATGTCTGCCCTAGGTGCATCTATGCAACTCGAGCAATGAAAACCGCAGGGCCCTGTGCTGGGAAGATGGCATTACATTCTGTTGGTGCTGCTTCCGGGAATGGCTGCGGGAGGAGCTTGATGAACCCCGTTTGATATGTTGGATTTTCCACTGAGTAAAGTTTTCTTCTTCTTCTTCTTCTTCTTCGGGTCTGCAAGAACGTGTAAATAATGTTTCTGTCAACCATGTAGTGGTTGTTAGTTTGTGACCCTGAGGTTCCCCGTTTCACTTACCCCTCCCTTCTTTTGGCCCTTTCCTTTTCGGTTGTGTACATAGTTTCTGCTGTACGGAATAGTGGCTAATATGTTTTGAGCTGACGTAGGACTAAAACACCAGCTTGAACTGAAAAAAAAGGAAAAAAAATTTTTGAAGAGAAAATGGACTCAGAAAATTTGAAGCGGCAACGGTGTTTAAACGTTTTGAGCTCTCTTCTTTTATTTCTGAATGGAATTGAAGTCGGGTGACTTTTTTCTTTTGTTTTTTGCTCATTTTTTAAAGTTATGAATTCCAGTTTTTGGTGTGCTCTGAATGATCGTTCAGATTTCAGAAATGTGGATCTTAAGAGCAAAACGATAATGTTGAGCATGATTGATAAAAACGGAGGAGAAATTCGCACAAAACCATGGAATTGAACTGCATAAGTCACTGGGTTAGACTCAAAGTCCATAATCCTAACAGTTTTCTCTTTTATTTTATTCCCCATCGGTTTAATATGTCATCGGTAGTCCGTGAGATGTATTTTTATTCAGAACCAAATTGAGAAATGTACGAGTTTTCAATTTGATTATTTTCTTTATTTTTTACTCCATAAACTTGCAATTGTAACACCAATTAAATGGTCATGGCAAAGTTGGAGTTTAATCATGTACCCAAATTGGGTGTTTTATTTTGATCATGACTAAACTGTATAAATGGTCCTCTATATTTATCTGAATTTAAATTTTGGTCCCCTACATCAATATGTATATAAATTGAGTCTTTATATTTTATTTTGGAACTTTTTTTTTTGTCTCTTTTCACTGTTTCGTCACCATTTCCGTCTTGATGACCGTTGACCCTACCAAGTCAGGGATATTTTTGAAACAACATATAAGATTAAAAGACTAAATTGTATAAATGGTCCCCTACATTTGTCCAAATTTAAATTTTGGTCCCATACATCAACATGTATATGGATTAAGCCTTTATATTTCATTTTGAAACTAAAATATCAAAAATTATTATTTTATAATAAAAAATAAATAATTTAAAAATAAAATAAAAAATTAAAATGATTTCAAATTTCAAATTTCAAATTTTTTTTCAGTTCCCACCTTTGTGGGTCCCACATGCCAGTCAATTCCCCCCTTGTTTTTGCTACAGTAAAAAAATTAAAATTAAAAAGTAAACTTACCTTCACCCGTCTTTTACCTTTACCCTTAAAAATTTTATTCTTACCAAGTCACTGCTACAGAAAAAAAATTTTATTATAAAATAATAATTTTTAATATTTTAGTTTCAAAATGAAATGTAAAGGCTCAATCCATATATATGTTGATGTAGAGGACCAAAATTTAAATTCGGACAAATGTAAGAGACCATTTATACAGTTTAATCTTTTGATCATTCACATTTTACTTTTTCAAATCAGACAGTTATTTCTAGTACAAAATTATTTTTAAAAAACTATTTTTTTAGATGGGTATACTACAATTTCTCGGTTTCAAGCCAGGGGGATATATTATATTATAACAAAAACAATGTATGAATATAAAATTGAATGTTTATGCGAGCTAGTAAAGACGTTTTCAACTCTAATTCGACTTTTTTAATTATCATAACATGGTCAACTCGTTACTTTTCTTCCTTTTAACCCAAAAAGAATATACATATATATCTATACTATTAAAATATATTTTAAAATTTTAAATGTGATTAATACAAATAAAGTAACTGATTTGTAATAATAAATATATGAATAAAATTAAATTAGATCGTGATAAATAAAATTGTTATATATACTTTGAAATGACAACATTTTATAAATTGTATGCCAAAAATGTAATTAAATAATGGAATATGTATAAGAATTATATACAAATAAAAGTAAAAAAGACCACCAAAATAATAAATCAGATGTTACATGTCATATAAATCAAAACAATTTATGTCTACACGATTAAAAACGCATGTTAATCAAGATTGCACACAATTGGAGAAAGAGACACCTTACATGTTAAATAAAACATGATCGGAGTGAGGTCGTCGCTGCAAAGATGTTTTGTAAAGTATATAAGATGCTTCGCTTCAGTGTTTCACCGGTTGTCATTGTACATGTTAGAGTTAGACCGAAGTAGATATTTATAGTGAATGTCTGAATGAGATATCATAACCAGTAACTAAAGTAAAATTCATAACTATGGAATAAAGATGATAACGTCACGTTGATTAAGAGATAAGATTGGTGGGGAAATGACTTCCATTGCATTAATGTTGATTAGTCTTTTTCAATTAAATTTAATTAGCTTTTAATCACTAAAGAATTCCCATTTTCCCGCACGTTGAACTTAGGTTTTAAATCAATCAAGTAGTAATTTTAGGGATTATTTTGTAGAGGGAATTTTTTTTTATATTCAAATTGGCTGGGGTAAAAAATCCCAGTGAATTAATGTTGAAAATAATAAATGCCTTATCCCTTTGAACTTATAATTTAAATCAATCAATTAATACTAATTGAGGATTATTTTTGGGAGGGAATAATTCTGTGCATTAATGTTCATTAATCTTGTCCATTAAATTTAATTAATTTTTATTTTCCTATTTTAAACTATAGTTTTAAATGCCATTTGATAAAACTTTATTTACATAAAATTTGAAGGATTATTAGTATAATTATTGTAAATATTTTTTTACTCAACCAATAGAAAAATGACACATTTAGAATTCTTTTTTGTTCTCTTTTAGTATAATATACTATAGATGCTACTATACGTCTATACTAGACGATATGCTATTGGGCAATATCGTAATTGTGCTGGTCTTACGTGACGCGGGTTCTTTCCCATTTTCCCGCCATCTAAGTAAGCTTTAGGTCCGGCCAAAAAAACAAATTATTTCCGCCATTGAAGTAAACCTTCGCGCAAAAGGAAAGGACCGAAATAACAAAAAGGAAGAAAGAAAACTTTACAGGAAGTTTCAGAAGCCAAGGCCGTTATAGTGCTGATAAATACTCTTTCTTGAAGAGGATTATCTCTGCAAAAAGTGTTCGGGTGAAAAACGTGCGCATTGGTTCAATTTGTTTTACATGAATATTTAACTTCCAGTCTTCTTTATTTGGGGGTTTAGTTTCTTGATTTTACACTTCCTTTACTGAATCACTCTGTCAATGTCTACGTGCTCTCCATTTTGTCTTTGTCAATTTCATTTCATGACTTGTTGTAGTGCTGAATGATGATGGACTTTTGACTTTTGCCCTTTGTTTTATGGGGTATTCTAGTAATGCCAAAAACTGGTTCTTGTTCGAGATTGTTTCTAGTCCTGAATTCCGATTCCTGTATTTCTGTAAATATCCCTGGTATTGGATTTAAAATAAGAGGGAAATTCTTTTTTATTTATTTATTTTTATTTTTATTTTTATTTTTTTTAACTCTTCAAAGGCCAAAGAAAAGGTGGATATGAAGGAATGTGAATTCAATCCATCGTAGTAGGAACTATTGAAGCTTTTCTGAATATTTTATAGTGTTGATAGATTATAATTGTTCTTATGAATTCCTGTTGGGGTTTGGCCTCAGATTTGCAGGGAGTGATCATGAAAAGGAAAGGGAACTCTGTGCCTCTCACAAGCAACAAAGGGAAGAAACAAACAGAGGAGAACTTTGAGCAAATGGGTACTCCTATGATGGATATACCTGAACCAATCCATACCGATATCGTGTTAAAACTACCCATTAAGGCTATCATCATGTGCAAGCGTGTTTGTAAATTTTTTCGCCTTTTGATTTCTAACCCTCATTTTGCAAATGTTCATTTTGCTAGGGCAGAATCTTTGTCCCTTGATTAGGACCTTGGGCGGTTTAAGAATTTCCAGAATGCTTTATCTGATTGAGCCATCTGAAATTACTGTAAACTATGAGAGCGATGGAGACTATTCATCGTTTGATCCTGAAGTTAACTTTTAAGTTAGACTTGAAGTTAGACACTAGGTTGAAGATCCCCCCACGCAATGTTGAAATGTTGCCACGAAATAATGCTGATCCAAAGTCTAGTTTATGCGAGCAAGCTGTAAAGGGTGGCTTAAAAAAACGTTGTGTAAAGGTGACAACACAAGAGCAGAAGTTTAAGATCGTGAATTCATGCAATGGACTTCTTTGCCTGTCGGATCCTACACGGAACAATCCTCTTGTAGTGTGTAATCCAGTTACTGGTGAGTATTTAAATCTTCCGAAGACACATGAATTTATTGGTAGCAGCTCAGGTCTAGTTCTTGCAGATTTGGATTCAGTAACAAGAGCAACCAGAATAAAATTCTTAGAATATCTGAAGGAAATCGGGAACTCTGTCATTGCCCAATTACAGGTAAAGAAATCATCTCAGGAAAGGTTGCTGAAGTACACACAGTTGGAACAGGTTTCTGGAGACATATTGGTCATGCTCCACACTGTTTCTATGAAATGAAATTTCTGACTTAACAAAGCGGATCTGTTTATTGGTTTCATGGTGAAATGAGGAAAGTTGAGTTGATATATGAATTTAACTTCAACGAAGAAGAATTCACCGCGATCAAGCCACCTCCACTTACTGACATGGGGGGATGGGAAGATCAATCCAAGATGGCCTTGGGAAATCTAGGAGGTAGATTAAGTTTGTTCACTAGCTTAATAGAATTGGAAAAGGTCCTGATTTGGGTTTTGGATGCAAATGCTGAATGCACCATGTGGGTTAAAATTAAGTCAATTCACATAGGCAGTGGTGATTGGTGGCCTCTTAGTTCTTACTTGCCTATAAATTTCCGAAAAGATAAAGGATTTTTGTTATTTCAGTCTCCTAAAGGTGCCTTGTTTTATTTTCACCCCGAATTTGGTTGCTGGAAGTATTTCAGAATTCACCATATCAAAGCAAAATATGACGCAATTGCCCACATTCCTAGTTTTATCCTTCACAAGGATGCCATCAAGGGAGATTGTAAGGTATTAAATGTCAATACTAGAGTAAGCCCTTTCTTTGCCTTGCTGCTATTGTCCTAAGAAATCATTGTTTTTTTATTGCCTTTACTCTTGATAGTTGGACTTTTGAGCTCAAGTCTGATGTTTTGCACCACAGATACGAAAACTTGGATTCCGTTTCTGTAATTAGTTCTACTTGGTTACTTCATCTTTGTGTCTTAGTAGCCCACCTTTGGCTAGCCACTCATCAATTATATCTTTGATCCCATGTATGGATGCATCTGAGATTTCTGTTTGTTTTGTTCCACATGTGTTTTCAGGGTTTAAATTTGCCAGGAGAAAAAAGAAGGCCATTTTCTTAGTGGAAGATATCCAACAATATAGGTCGACTCAGACGCAGATCACAGCGACTATGAATATTAGGAATTCACAGCATTGCAGTTGACGGGCACCAATGTCCTCTTATGCAGAACAATGCACTCATGTCTTCTGTATATTTTGGTACCCGTGGAGAGTTGGTTGTCTTAAGATGTCTCTCTTTATTTTGTTCATATGTCTTCCCATCCTCCAACATAGTAATAATGCTCATATTATCCGCCTCTGCAAGCACGAACAAAATATTTTTTTTCGCAGAAGTTTTTTTGAAGACCTGGTTTTGAAAATGACATCACCTCTTCAAATAAGGCTAAACAACCAAAGGGAGTATATACTATTGCATTGCATGACAATCTTTATGAGACGGGAGAAAAGTCTAATAGAAAAGAACAAACATAAGGGCCCCCAAAACTGTCATTTTAATACATATTAAATTCAGCAAATAGAAGTTATACTCCTAAAATGAGAAAATTCTTATTAAGAGCATTGTAAGTTTCAAAATTCTTGTAAAGGGTATTAAAATTCTGGTTTATAATATTATTGATTATGTCTTTGCCCTTTTTAATGACCAATTTAATCTTTTCCTTATTAACACAATACGGTAGATTCTTTGTTCTTTTTCCTCTCCATTTTTTTTTTCTTGCAAACAATCAGATAAGAATCATTCTCCATTCTTTACCTGTCGAAACCAGAAACTAAAAATTAGAGAAACCTCTCTAATAATGCCAAAACAATAAAAAGTTCACTTCCTCAATTGTGTTTTAATATAATTCCAGAATCTTGTAGTTCTAAAAAAAAGAGAATTCCGCCTCATATGAACCTTCTCTTGGAAATGAACAAGGTTCTTTAATTGATGAGTCTCTAAACAAGTTTAAAAGGGAGAATAACTTGTATTAGTTTAAAATTATTATTACTACCAAAAAAAAAAAAAAACTAAATCGCAGTTAAAGAAAGAGTTAAATTGGTCAATTAAAACCGATGGCCGTTTTAATTGACGATGATGACGGTCATGCATGATGAGGCTTCATTCTCTTTGTTTGTATAGGATTATACATATATATACTTTTTAACTTCAATTCCAACTGGGTTTCAACCTTCTTTTCTCCTATAAATATATGACCTGCACGTATGCTTTTTATTACTCAACATAATCGACGAAATCTCTCAGTTCAGAGGAATAAGTTTTTTTCTTTTTTTTTCCGAAGCTTAAGGAAAGGAAAGGAGAGGTCGGCTGGAACATTAGTATAATTAGGAAACTCAATGTGCCAAAATCAGGTTGGTAATTGGAAAAGGTTGAGTCGGCAATCAGCTCCATAAATATATATCCCAATTTCCAGACCACTCAAAAAAAAAAAAAAAAAGCAAGCAAGCCATTGCATTACTGCTCTTGAGAAACTATTATCAGAAAGGCCATTGCATCAAACTCTCGCAAGAGTTTTGACTATGATGAGTTTGACTCAAAATAAGACCATTGCATCCATGTGATTTTAACCAGTAAAATCACACTGGTAAGTTCCACATGCTAAACACAGACTTAACATGTTAATAGATTTACTACCGATAATTTAGTATGTCTTTCAGATAGGCATCAAATGCCTTCGTCTTTCCATGTCCCATTGACGTAGACATATTTTGACATACTCTTTAACTCTTATCAATGATCTTTGGACTTGTTCCAAGACCATAAAACAGTTTACCGATCTTATTATCGGTATTTAGAGGGCTTGAAATCCTCGGGTTGCTCCGTATCTAATTTTTCATTGAAGGAAACATCATTTGATCTTGATCTCAACATGAGAGAATACATATCAAGCAATCTAAACAAAGTCATTGTTTATTTATATTGATTCCTTATGTGACATTAACTTATTTTTAAGTACGATTCTCAAAAATAGAATCGACACTCTTTATGGTTTCTCCATAAAGATCCGTTACAAGAACTAATAAGTTCGTAAATCATTCCCAACAAATGTGATTCAAATCATTCCTAAATAATTTTCATTTGGTTCCTAGCCACATCTTGAGTTTTCAACTTGAACTATTTCCTTTCCAAAAGAATTACATATTTTTTTTATCACACTTTAGTATTCTTTTGTAAGTTTGATAAGTTCAAAATATACACAAAGAACCCCTACATGGTACTGTCATGTACTCATAGCCTGTAAGAAATTTATCTACCAATTAGGATTCATCTTTATTTCTTTTAATGCAAGTATCTCCACAAGTTATTTTGACACTCACAAGTGTTTGATTTCATTGCTTATATAGGACGCCCACACTCGCTAGTGTTTATAGGGTCGTCACAATTTCTTTCATGATACCTGGCGAGTCCATATCTAATGAGAATTACTGGACAGACCCATCAACCAACTATGGTCCAGCCGACCTAATAAAGGCGGTTCTAGAATATGAAACCTAGTAGGATTTGGCATCCTTCAAGGTAACTTCATGCCTATAAATATGGTTGGTCATAACACAATAGGGGTACGCTATCTCTAGCACAAACTACTACTCACATATCTTCTTTAAACACTTTTCTGACTTAATCATCAGAGTGTCTACCATCGGGAGACCTTCGAGGCCTTCTTTTACAGAAAACCCTAGTCAAAGTTCCACTACCAAACCGGCGGTGTAAAACCAAGCTTCATCAAGTGGCACACCCAGTGAGACTCAAAAACTAGGGTTTGTGTCACGAAAACCTTTTCATTTTTCCTAACCTTCTCTGGTGCGACTTAGGGTTTCTGGAACCACGCACACCATGGCCAGGGTTGAAGAGGACGCGAGCAGCACTGCATCTTCCGGTAGAAGGCACAATCCAGCCCATAACACTACCCTGGCAGAATTCCAACGACGACAGGAAAGAAAGAAGTTGGGAAAGAGCCATGAAAGAAGACCCGAGAAAGAACCAGGGAAAGAACATCTGATCCTCGGAATTTCACACCCTAATTCAAAAAAATCGGACAAAGAAAATCCCTCGACCGAGAAAAAGGATTTACCTCCTCTCAAAATACCATAGCATCCAGAAAACGCTTGGAGGAAAAAGCTACAGGATGACAACGATCAAAATCAAAGGATGAAAAGATATGTTCTTGAGGAAACAAGGCGTTGCTGTCTCCTAGGAAAGCCTGACCCCACTGAACAAGAGTTGGCTGACTTGATTGACGAGAAGGAAGCCCAACGTACTTTAGCTCTTCTCGGGAAGAAACAAGGCAAGTGAAAAATCCAGGAGGAGGGGGACTATCAAGAGTATTCGGATCGCGAAGACTTCTTGGATAACCATTCAACCGCCACTTGATATGGCCATTAAAGAGTTTGATACGGTGTACAGACGCAAGGATCCTCAAGACCACAACCAACAAGGATCCCCAAGCATCTAGGTTATGGAAGAGGGAGAATACCCTCCGAGAAGGACCAATGTTCACAACCGATAGGGTCCAACTGGCATCGAAAGAGTCCTCGAAGGGAGGAATACGTACCTTTCCATTGACAATACCAAATCGACGGCGATACCGGAGAGGAATATGGGCAGGGGCATTACCATCATCTTTAGTATTTACCTCCCAGGTGGCAACAACATAACAACCGCGAAGAGATCCCACCTTATCTTCCTCGAGGTCAGCAGGGAGTAAGAGGCCAGCACCCTTCGATCCAAGATGAGATGAGGAAGATCATTGGAATGGTCGGAGACCGGAGTCCCTTTATACCAGACATTCGAGACGAGCCAAAGCCCCAAGACTTCGACTTCCCCAAGGACTTCACCAAATACTCGGGAGATAAGGATGTCTCCCAGTGGCTGTAGGGGTATGTCCAGGTCATGAGTATCAGGAATGCATCGTTGAATTTTATGGCTAAAGCTCTACCCTCCTACCTAACCGGGCAATCACAGCGGTGGTTTGGACAGTTACTAGAAGGAAGTATAATTAATTTTGAGGACTTGTCAGTCAAATTGGCAACTCGGTTCTTTCAGAGTAAGCAAATCTCTAGAATGTCCATTGACCTTTCCTTGATCAAGCAGGGTCAACACGAAAGTCTCTCAGACTTCCATCGGCGTTTCATTTGCGAAACTTTACAAGTTGACAACATAGATGAATGGGATGTCCAGAATGGTTTTATCCAAGGGCTCAACCCATTTGGAAA